ACCATAAAGGTAAGATTTCCAAAGTAAACATCTGGTAGAGCTTCTCTCTAGAGACTATGAAATGGGCAGGAGAGAGTTCACTTGGATCTGTCTCACCTGCATTTTATTTAACCAACAGTAGTTGGAGGATATCCTGTCTGATCTGGGCTGCCCACATTAGCTCCACTTCCTGTGGTAAAGATCACTGAAGGTGGACTATTTTGTGGCTCAGTTGGTGTGCCAGATTTCAAGGGAACAGTGGGGACAGGAAATAGGCCAGGGCTGGGCTAGAACAAATGACCTAATGAAAGAAGGATTAATTTGGTAGTGGATAGTCAGTGACTCAAATTACAGTGGCCAGAAGGGGTGTGGAGGACTGAAATTTGATCCTGCCAACAATGACAGACAAGAATTTTTTTTTTTTTTTTTAATTTGGTAAGGGGAACTTGGCAGTCAAGTCTCTAGGCAGAAATGACACCTGTCAGGAGAGTGGCTGTGCCTTACATCCGGGCTTTGCTCATAGAGGGGCTGAATCAGAGGCTGAGAATCAAGAAGGAGGACTTAGTCCTGGAGAGAATGTTTTGGCAAGAGAAGGAGGGCTGTCAAGGTCAATACTAAAGTTTTTCCAGGCAAAACATTAAATCCAGTACTCAAAATGTGAATGGAAAACATAAGAGAGAACTGGTCCCATGAAATCATAAATATAAGATTTAGAGACACAGAGGTTAGGGGCCCAGGGAGTCACTAGAGCTTACTAGAGTTAGGACAGGCAACCTGAACACAGACTTGCTCCTTTAGTGACCTGCTCTGGAGTACCATGCAGAGCAGCTGGGGACAGCAGGGGCTCCAAGCTCATAATGCATCTGCCAGTTTCTGTCTAACTGTATTCTTTTCCACCACTGATTTTCTTGAAGCATACACATCCTGGCTTCAGGTGGAGCTGGGACAATCAGTGACAAGATGGCAGTGGCTCAGAAGTATCCATCTGTGGGCTCTTTTCCTAGCCAGGGAGCATCACGTCTACCCCTTTGTGGGAGGCTGCAGCTGAGGCCTCTGCAGAAGAGTGTTAAGAAGATGCCAGGTAGCCAGTGTCCTCAGGGCTCCAGGGGTAAAAGGTAGAAGTTCCAATAGGTGAGGAAAGCGAATCGCCAATGTGCAGGGGGGAGCTTGCTAGAATCTAGAGACTCAGTAAGCTGCTACAGCTCCTGGCCAAAAGGCAGATGCAGAGACCAGCAGTTGAGCCAGAGGGCACTGCCACACTGTTGCGTGTGCTCGCCACTTCATCACGGAGTATTTGGGGGATGTGGGTCTTAATCATGCGCTGTATTTCATGGTGTGGCCAAATCCATTCAAAGGGCACCACTGCTTGCATTGATCCTCAAAATCACCTCACAATGTGGACAAGGTAAGCCCTGTCATCTCCATGTACACATTATGGAAAGAAATGCTGGTGGAGGACAGGCATGTAGTTTTCATACAAAGCGTATTATGCTTCAGTATTTTAAACAGCTTCACTACAATGAAACTGTGTTTATTTATTTATTTATTTATTTATTTATTTATTTTTGGTTTGCGAACAACCATAATGCAGAACTGTGGTGCCCAGGAATGTAGAAATCTAGCAGCTGCCTGGGCTGAGTTCACCAGTGAAAGGGATCCTTGGCACCTCACAGTCTCCCCATAGAAGGTGGGGAGGGCAGTGACAATGGATTTGGGCTCAAGGTCAGTTTTGCGTTTGGTCTGTGCAAGGACCTCTTCCTTAATGAAGAAGGCAGGGCACACCAGGCCCCACAAACTAACCTCCAAGGAGACTGGCTCTGTCTCTTTTCAGATTCATTCCAATGATATCTTCCTAAAATCAGAGCTTTCCTTTGAGGATCTAAAAGACTAAAAGGAGGACAGATCTTTTGCTGGAACTTCATAAATGAAAAGTCTGGTACAGTACTTCATAGATGCCATCTCTGGGAAAAAGCTGCATACAATACATTCCACAATTAAGCACTGGACATAGTTTATGATGAATGTCAGCTTTCAAATAAACCTTGTAGAAGGGTTTGATTCATTTTTTATTGGAGCCATTATATACCTTTTTATTCTTCTGTAAGAAAAACTTATTTTAAATTTGCAAATATACTATATAAAAGGAAACATTTTCAATTACTCATGCTTCAAAATCATACTTGGAAGAATAATGCCATTAGTCAGGATAGATCATAATATAAAATTAGGCTCCATAAGTGAAGGATAGCTGTATCTCTGAGTACCGAGCAGAGTTCCCATCTTCCTGTGATTCACAGTTCATTCATCTGCGAGCTGAAGTGCCACTACACCACAGCTGTTCTCTGTGTAAACTTCCCCACACTGCAAACAAGGCTCAGCTTCTTACTAGTTACCCTGAAGATGTCCAGGCCATTTGAAAATAAGCAACGAAATCTGCCAATGTTAACAACATTATCAGGCGAGAACACTCCACGGGCTCAAGGAATGACAAGATATTTTAGGCAAAAATCTGAAAATAACTACTACCTTGTAATTTATAGATCAACGCTGCAACTTTACATTTAATTAATGTCCTTTAACTTTCTGTCTACTCAGTTTATTAGTGTGGATCCAAGAAATTCTGGTATTTCCAATTTCATATTTTTTTCTGGGCTCACTTTCAACAGGTTGCCTGTAATTAAAAGCTAAAATATGGTTCAAAGAAGCTGGTATTTGTGCATTCTTTAGCTAAGACTAACAAAAAGTTTTCTGCTTAATAAGAAAACAAATCATTAGTTTTTATAAAAGAAGAATAAGAAAGTACACTTTACAGGCTTTTTAATTCTGCTTTACAAGCTTCAGAAATATATACTTCTGAAGCAATATTTCACTATTCACCCTCCCCAGGAAGAAAAATAGTGTAATGAATATTCATACTCTACTCTTTAAGAGTTTCCTAAATACATTTTACTGTGAATTTGACTCAAAACTACTTCTATAATTACACCTCTTCCTGCTGTAAGCCTTGATCAACTCCACTGCAAGATTTCTCTACATCTTGCCCTTTTTCCAAAATTATACTTTTCCCTGACAATAATTCTCCAGGTCAAAGATTTAGAAAAATTGTTTAGAAGTCTACTTTTAAATCTCAATTACTTTTTCAACTATGAAGTACATTTAAATAATTCCTCATTATGCTGAAGTATAACAGCATTTCATTGCTGTCATTTTCACATTAAGTTTAGTCTCATTGCACTTCCCAGCCTACAGAAATATTCTCCATCAGATGTGTAATGCAATTATTTTTAGATTAGTAATTTAAGCTAAAGTTATATTTCCATATGGAAACCACTTCAACAATGAAATGCTTTCTAGCTCATTAATAGCTAATTATATAGTAAGTTAATTGAGACAGAGCATGTAAACAAACTCTAAAGACAGAATATTCAGTCTAGAAATGTGCAGTGGGAATCACATGTCTGTGGCATGTTGAAGACACACTGAAAAGGCAAGCATGTTCTGTGAAAGTGCATACTTCGCAATACCGGCTCCTGTAACAAGAGGGTGCACCCGACAGCTGGTCTGTCTACAACATCTGAAGCAGAAAAATCTCAGTATTTTAATATTTTTTCTTTCTTTACGCTATCACCAATCCTGCCTACATCTATGCATTTGTTCTAAATTCTGTTTTTCCTTTCCCAAAATGTATATTCTCAAGCTGGATTTCCCTCTTAAACAAACACATAGGTTATGTTTTAAATAGAGGGAGAGTGGTGAATGGATCATGCAATACAACCTCACACTGTAAATTTATTTTACTATACAATTACTAACCACGCTTTAAGAAAAATTAAACGTTTCCAAATAGGAGGTCAAAACAAGGGGCCGTGTTATGCATTCTGCCGGAGCCTAGAGGCCAAAGAGAAAGGAAAGATATGCTCATAATACCCTGTGAACCCCCCGGTGTCCTTAACAGCAGGATTTCTCTGGTGAATACACCCCCGCCCCCAGGGAGAGCCAGCCTTTCACACTGCAAACAAGACCAGCGGGGCGTTGGGGTAGGGGGCTGAATCCTCACCGACTTGGGACAGGTTCAAACGCACTTGTACACGAAGGAAGGTTTACATTCCTGAAATCTGTCCATATGGATTCCATTCGCAAACTCGCTACCTCTTCCACTTCCAACCTGCGTGTGCAAACAGTCGCACACACGCACAAGCACGCAGCACAAGAACACAATTGCACAATCGCACCGCCAAGTACACAAGCGGATTATATTGCTCCAATATAACCCCCTCTCGCCTTTTAAAAACACGCAGACATTAACCCTGCCACAAGGAGGCTGCGCCCGGGACGGCTGCACGCTGGAGATCCGGCGCAGTTCAGGGGCCGCCGCGGCGCGAGTGTACACTCTGGTTGGTTCGGGAAAGACGCGCGCCCGGGCTGTGTACCTTCGCCCGTGTTACTTTAAGTGCAAAATTTGCCTCTTCACTCTCTGAAATGATAGCTAACTAGCGGCCCAGCCGCGACGTTGGTACACGCTTTCTTAAAAAACGGCAGGAAGGGAAATGCTTCCACCCGCCCTCTTGGAGCACACCACTCACGCGCGCACAAACACAGCGAGCTTAGCTGGTCCCGCAGTTATTGCCTTAGGATCTGGCATTGGAAGGAGAGAAAATCGAAGCGAAAGAGCTCTGGGGAGGGCGAATCCGGCTTTCCTCTGGCCACCACTCGCTTTACCCGGTTCCTATCCGTACACTGGGATGCCACTTGGGCACTCCCTACCCTCAGTCCTGGAGCGCCAGGTCCTCACCAGATCGCGATCCTAGGTTTAAATCTCCTGCATTCCAAATCTATAGGACAACCTTCCGCATCCTTCCCCAGTCTTTTCTTTATAAACTCTACCAGGAAAACCATTTCCTATCCTTATCCGCGCTGCAAACTTTTTCCTCCCTTTGCAAGGAGACAAGGAAAGAAAACAGACCAGCTGCTCCTGCCACCCGCCTTGCCCAGCGCCTGGTGGTAACGGGCGCAATCCTTACCTGGGCAGCTGCGCTCAGGTAGCTTCCCACGCCTGCCGAAGCGCCCAGTGTGTCCAAGCCAGCCTGCTGCGGTCCCCGCCGCTGGGCGATCAGCGAGCGACGGTCCTTAGAGTCGCGCGTCTCTGCCTAGCGTCGCCCTCGCAGTCATCGCCCGTCTCCTCCAAAGCGCCGTGGTCGCTCTCGCAAACCGATCCGGAGCTTTGGAATGCGGGATGGCACAATCTCGCCCCGCAGCGTGCGCCCGGGGTCCGGGAGCGCTCTGCCCCACGGCAGCGGCGGCTACTCGTCACATGCCGCCTCCGGGCAGTGGCCGCGCCACCTGCCCGAGGGGAGCAGCGCCTGGGCTCTTCGCACGCCCTGACTCTTTCTGTCCGCGCCTTTCCCCCTCTCTCTTCTCGCTGGGCTCTCACTCTCCCTTTTCTTCTTCTTCTTCTTCTTTTTGTCTCCTTATCTTGTACGCCCCTTTCCCCGCAACAAGCAGACAGAAGGGGCTCTAAAGGGGAGGAGGGTCTTTGCCTCCCCGGGAGCACTTCCTCTGCCTGGTGGTGGCGGTCGTGGCTACAGCTGGCCGGTTCCTCCTCTCTTTCCTCCTGCTTCTCCTCCTCCCACCACCCTCCCCTGCTCTTGCTCAGACTCCTGCTCCTGCTCTTGCTCCTCCTCCTCCTCCTCCTCCTTGTCTTCGTCCTCCTCCTCTTCCTCCTCCTCCTTCAAGCGCTGCCTGTGAGTGCTGGTTTAACGTTCAAGCTGCCTGGTGGAGACCCAAACCTGCCTGGCTTCTGAGCATGCCCAGCTGCCCCCATGCGGAATTGGGTTGGGTTCCCAGCCTGGCAGGGGGCTAGGAAACCCGGCTTGGGAGATCCTAGAGTGTTTTCTGGGTGAGCTTCATGCACACAGGACCCGAAGCTGGAGAAGAGAACCGCTCGCACCCCGCTTGACCCTACGTGGTGCCGGTTTGTGCCCAGAGTGCCTCCAGGACAGAGTGTGCTGCTTCTTAGTTTCCTGTTCTCTTTTAAACTGGTTTCCTAGGACAGCTAAGGACTGGAAGGAAGCGGACTCTTTAGACGTAGCTTACTGATGCTTGAACGCCTTCATTAAGTACATTAAGGAAGGGGTTCCTCCCAAGGACAGTCTGCTGCATCTACTTTTTGACACTTAATGAGAGTCTGTGTAGAACAATGTACAGTAGTAGAGGACAATTTGGCTTTTTCTCCTCTAGAAGTTTACTCCCTCAAATAAATAAATGAAGAATCTGTGAATAAGACACAGGAACGAGGAGGTCTTCATGAACACAGACAAATGCACACACACACATGCACACACTTTTTTCGTTAGAAAAAAAATAGTCTTTCTACCTAGGCTTTTATATTTAAAGATAGTTTATTAATGTTTACCACTGTTTTTCTAATACCATAACATGTCATCAAATGATTTACTTCAACTATTTGATTTAAATAACAAAAATTAAACAATATATGAAGGCTAAGAGCCTATAAAAACCCATGTGCAGGTAGCTCACAAGTGAAATTACATTAATTAAGCTATATCCTTGTATATTTATTTGTAAAGGTGATGGAGAGTCTGGAAAAGTAGATGATTTACTTTTACATGTACAGCAGGGTTGTAATCACATCTCCTGAATGTTCCCACTTGTGCAGTCATATTTTCATCATAAATAATTTTTGCAAATTATATTCTGCATAAGTCTTTAGAACCATTTTAGATGCTTCCTAGGCTTTTAAAGGTCATAAACAAAACTCAGGAGAGATGGGGAGAGAGAGAGAGAGAGAGAGAGAGAGAGAGAGAGAGAGAGAGACAGAGAGATAGTCAGAGACAGAGAGACCAAGTAAGAGAGACAGAGCCAGAGAGACAGAGACAGAGACAGATACACAGAGAGAAGTTTTCTGTTGTACAGTTAGCTAACTAGACAAGGAGGAAATGGAGAGCTACCAGTTACAATGAGGTTGCCCGCAGCAGTGCAGAGGTTTTCTTGAAAGGACAGGGGAAAAAGCATGCACAATAGGGTCACTTTGCAAAGCTCAAGGAAGAGTGGACAAGAGGGAAGGAGAGAGGGGAATGAAGTTAGCACAGTATGAAATGAGACTTTGAACAGTATTAAAAGTAGCAAATGATTTTTAATATTTACATTGTTCAAGAAGACCAATCAGAAAAAGATCAAGTTCTTTTTTTGTCCTTCCTCCTGTAGGTGTAATGATTTTTAAGAGAGAAGTCACTAAACATTGCTTAGAGAGAACTGAGCAATAACAGGAGGAAAGCTACTGAGAAATCATGGTACTTAATTTTATTCAAACACTCAGGCTTAGGTAAGTGGTATGCGGAGACTGAAATGATAATGATGATATTAATGTAGCATCTGATTTGTTTGGATAACTCTCATTTTGGAAATATAATTATTGTCCAAAATATCTCTCTGATTTTGAAAACAAACATTCAAACAATACCATCAACTTTCCATGGGTTCTGCACCTTTGAATTTGACCACTGAGTAATTAATAATTTTTTTTTGAAAAATTACATCTATACTCAACATGTACAGATCTTTTGTGTCATCATTTTATAAATAATACAAATAACAACTATTTGCGTGGCATTTACACTGTGCTAAGCATTATACATAACCTAGAGATGCTTTCAAGTACATGCTGTGTAGGTTATGTGAAAACGCCACACCATTTTATATGAAGGTCTTTAAACTTCTGAGGATTTTAGTACGCGCAGGATTTCTGGGACCAATTTTCCTGAGTCACTGAAGAATGACTTCTTGATTGGTTAATTCCAAGAATAACAGCTAATATTTATGAAGCATGTACTATGTGAGGGCTCGAAGCAAAGTACAATACAAACATCTAATCAGACGATGAAAAGCAAGTTGGAGAGATTGCTCAGTATGCCTACTCATTCTTTTATTCTTTTGATGTGAGTGTATTTCATCACCATTTAATGAAAGAGAAAAAGGGAACCTAAAGGAATGAGCAAATTGAACAGTTTATAGCTAAGAAAATCTGAATTCAAATTTAACATATCTTTCTCCCTATGTGGACTCACTTTTCGCCTGTGATACAAGAACACTTCCAATAACATAGACAGGAGTAAAAAGAAGACAAATAGATATATTGTACCTCCCAAAAGAAAAAAAAATAGTCGAATGGTATATCCTTCTGGTGACTGAATTTGAGATTGATGATTGGCAATATTCTAGAGAAGATCATGAAATAACCATTTGTGTATCGGGGGAATAAAATCAACTGGAACTTAGCAAAAGTATATCAGACTAATTTTATTTCTTTTTGCAAATAGTCATAAACTCACATGCATTGTACTTCATAATTTCAGATTGCATTTCTTAATTTCAGTCAATCTCATTATTTTTATAGACAAGATAAATCTGGAATGAATATTTGTACTGAAAAAATTACTTGCTAACAGTTTTGACTAAATTGCTCCAGGTTCCTTGGTAAGTGAATCTATCCTTGATTAGGGTAATTTGTTTGCCTCTGGTTTGGTGTCCTATTGTTGTGGTTAGGGGTTTTGCAACACAGGACATTTTTTATGTATTTAGTACAGGGTCTCACTACACCAATTGGACTTGTAGTGATCCTCATGTTTTCAGCCTCCCAAGTGCTGGGATTATAGGTGCAGACCAGCATGCCAGTCTCATTTGCCATCTCAGTGGGCCCCGGGGGCGGGACAAGCTCAGCACACTGGGGATCAAAACCTAGTCCTTGCATCTGCCTAAGTAGACACTTTAATTCACTGAACTATCTGGCAAGCCCCAGGACACATTTTCTAAGATTATTTTATAATGAATCACCCAAATAATCATACATAAAGAGTGTAGGAAATCCGTCCACACAGTAAAGACCAAAGAATCCAGCTGAGATCCTCCATCCTAATATCCTGCATGAGTCCAGCTGAAAACCTAGAGCTTATAACAATGCCTCTCATAGGTCTAACTGGAGGCCTAGAGCTCATGACAATGTCTCATGCAGGCCTGCTTCATGGATTTTCACTGGGAAGACCCAAAGGTCATTGGTGGAAGCTAGAAAGTCTATGCCAGCAGGATGAAGGATCTGTTATAGCAGGCTGAGGGAGGAGAGCTGGAGCCAGGAAGCAATGCTCAGGGTAAGAACCAGAGCTCCCCCAAAATGTACCACAGCTATCATCAGCAACAATGAGGTCCCGAGCTCCTCCAGCAAGGATGAGCTGACTTTCTATTAGAAAAGTTGAGTTACCATCAGGAAAGCCAACGCAACACCCTTTTTCAGGAGACTGAGCTGTGCACCATCTTCTCCTCTGGAGCCAGGAAGCAATGCTCGAGATGAGGACCAGAGCTCCCCCAAAGTGAACTGTAGCCATTCCCAGCAACAAGTATGTCCCAAGCTCCACCTCTGATGGGAACAGCCAAATTCATCAGGAAAGCCAGCATGATAAGTTCCTCTAGCACAATAGCCCAAGAGAACCAGCAGTTTCCAACAGCTTCCAGAAGCTTCTCCAAACAGCTTCCCTACCCACTGCACAACAGCTTCTCTCATTCTGCCTCTTATGCTGCTGGCAACAACCCTCAGCTGGGTCTCCCACACCCAGCACCACCCTAGTTCAGCTCAGCTGGGTGTAACTAGTTGACCATAACAGTTGGCAATCTACCACACCTATTGTTCAATAGATTTATCAAATCATGTTTCAGAGGAAAATATAAAGGGATACTAGCTGGACTACAGAGCAAGTAAAAAACAATTGAGTGGCATTTTAAGATGTCAAGAATCAACAACTCATGAATACTGACATGTAAATATTAGTCTAAAGCAAAGGAGGTAAGCGACAGCTGGAATGAATAATGAAATCCTATATTTTAGGCTTGTGAAAAACTATCAGGATAAATACAGGACTTTTCAATTATTAAATAAGACTCTGGTTATAAACAAGATAGTGAATAGCACATTTTTCTATTGTAAACTAACTGTAAAACCTGGGGAAACTGCATAATATTTTTAGTTAGAGCAACCAAAATAGTGCT